ATTTTCCTGTCAATAATCTAGTCTATTTCATATTATTCGTATGTATTTAGTGTATTGTCTGTTAAATGATAGTCATAATTTATCCTTTGTTTTTCTCCTGCAGAGTTTCCAAGTCTTCTCTAGCTTTTATATAACAGCGTGAGGGTATATAGTGGTTGAACACTCCAGAGGCATTACATATCCCAGCAAAAACACTCAAATGTTTCTGTCCTCTGAGGTGATCCTACTTAATGCAACTTTGAGAGCTCTTATTCCACTCTTTGTATGTATTTTTACCATATATTCCATCACATACAAAGGTTTAGAATAAAATCGTGATCAGCCTCCATCTCTTTTCATAGGGTGATGTGAAATCCATAGAAAGATGAGAACGAGTATGTGGAGATGTAATGGCATGCATTTACCTGTGTGATGTTCGACAGGCCAATCAAATAAGACACGAAGCAGACAACAGCGATAAAGATCTCTCGTCTTCCTCGTAGCAAGTGGGGGAACTCATCGACGAGTGCAGTGATGAATCCTTCCACCGTACAGAACTACAGAGAATATAAAGCATTCCTGAGCATTTATTCTGAAAGATATATGGTGATTAAAAGACAAAATGGACTCTGAAAGGACTGGATGTATTCAAGTCAGAAATACTGGCTGAATTTGGAATAGCATGCAGCAGTAATGCTATTCAGAGTAAACACATTAGGTTAAAATAGCACACGTCGTTTTAAGGGTCATTTTATAAAATAACTGAAGTACCTCTCACCTTTAGCTTAGTTTCTATTGAAAAATGAATGGAAATTAAAGGCTACTTCAAAGAGATGAAGAATGTCTAGGGCATTTACTGATGCCTGAAAACACACATATGCATGTTTAAAACATGCTCTTTACCTGACTGTCAATGCCAAGCATAAGCAACATGGAGAAAAACAGGATTGCCCAGAGCGGTGAGATGGGCAGCTGTGTGACTGCCTCTGGGTAGGCTAAGAATGCCAGCCCTGGCCCTGAGATCAAAACATGTTTAATTAGCTTTATAATAGCTGTATTATGGCATAGACACAAACAAATATAATCTGATCATATAAAAAAAAATT